ATGTATAAAATAAAATACACAGGAACCTATTACATGAAAATGCAGTTCTAGCTGTGGACACCTATGTCTTATACCTACCATAGATGTGCCTCAGGCTCCTTGTCTAACCAAGACTTTAGCTCTTCAAAGTGGAATTATGAGGTAAGAAACACTATTTCTTAGTATGGAGTCAAACAAATACTTGAGTCCAGAGCCCAAGTCACAAAGTGTAAAGTGAATCATATAAGGAAGAAGGCTTAGTCCTGTTAGCAGGTGGCTGCTGACCTGGAATGATACCAGAGGAGTGCAAAGGGTCTCTTCCTTAATCCCCCAAATCCCTCTTTTCCCTGCTCACTCATGCTTGAAATCCCTTAATAGAGCTTAACTCCTTTGTTTTAATTAAATAAAGGATTTGCTCTTGTTAAAAAGTAAATACTCATGGGAGAGCTAATACTCTATGCCAAAGATTTTCAAATTTATTTCCAACAGTGGAACCTGTTTTTCAAATGCAAATGTAAATAAATGCAAGTTTTATAAGAATTTAGTATAATTTTATTGTTGAATTATATATATAAACATATAAGTATATAGCATATATTTATACATTATTATAGAAGTATAATATATATTTATATTGTTTACTGTATAAATATTTATAGTGTGTATTTATTATATAAGCATATTTATATGTTTCTAATTATATAACTAGAAATCAATACTGGGAATAATGAGACTATTTTGATGAAGGCAAATTATGAAATCAAGAGTTATAAATAATAACTGTGGTCTTACATCCATCACAGCATATGATTTATTTATGTATTTTATTTTGCCTGCACAAGATGGAGAAAATCTTGACATGAATAATAAGTAATTTCAAATAGCTAACAATTTATTATGGCACTTATAATCTCTGAATTTTCTTCAATTTAAATGATCCAGAAGCTTTAAAGAGTAGTAGGAATTTTTTGTTTTAAAATAGAATCACTAATAATATCTAACAACTGTTCATGTTCCTTAATAATTAAGGGTTAGTTGGTAGATAGTCAATTAGGGGTGATTTGACAAATAGATTTTATAATTAATTTGAATCCTGCCTCCCCTTACTCACTGCATGTAACTTTAGGCAAGTAGCTTAATCTTAGTCTCAGTTTCCTCACCTGTAAAGTGACTGTAAAAATGACACCTCTTCTATAGGTGTAGGGGTTAAATAAGATAATGTACATAAAGTACAGTGGCAAACTTAATAAATGCTATTGTAATTGAAGGGCTGAGTGATCAAAAATACTTTTCGGGGTGGTGCCTGTGGCTCAAGGAGTAGGGTGCCGGCCCCATATACCAGGTGTGGCAGGTTCAAGCCCGCCGTGGCCAAAAACTGCAACCCCCCCAAAAACAAACAAACAAAAACTTTTCGATACTTCTTTAAGATGTTCTATCACATCTTACTTAAATTTTTTACAGGTATTTCAGCATCTTTCTCTTTCAGATATTCAGAGTTTCAAAACAATCTAATTTTGTTTCACATGTTGAATCCAGATTTTGAGATGATGCTTTATTGTTGACTTTTATCTGCAGTTGCAAACAAAATAACAATGCAAGCCTGTACTGTCAAACAATGATTGCACAGCTCATGTCAAATCATGTAAGAACCAACCCAAATTTAAATCAAGCAATGAAAAAATCTATAATGCTATATTTTTATGATGGAACATGGTATAGTTGACTATCATGCTGTGCCAAAAGTGTGCACCAGAGAACTTATCTGGCTTTTAATTGATAGTAGCACACATATGTTCCAATACTAATACCAATTAATTTTTACTGAATGATTACCAGAAGCCAGGAATTGTTTAAGACCTTTCCACATATTAGCTCATTTAATCTTTGCATATTTATTTGTATGCTTATGAAAGTGTATATGAGCAGATTTGAATATCAAAACATGACTAATAAAAAGCTACACCCTATCTAATAAAAGCCACCTTTATAGAGAATTCAAATGTACATGCTCACACGCACTCAGAGTAAACCTGACAGCACAAATTAATCCCCTGATGATCTAATGCATTAAAATTTAGCAACTTTCAGTATATTTTACTTAAAATAACTTGAAAATTTATCATAAAAATGAAATGCAAATTAAATGCTTACAACTCATCTAAAACTCCTTGGAGTTCTCTGCAACAATTTGAAAACCAGAGCCTGTCACTCATTTACACTAGAGTGTGAAAGGAGCCAAATCAGATTTTTCCTGAAAGCACAGATGTAAATAAGAGAGAAGGAAGCAACAGATTTTAAATACTAACTTATTTTTCAGAAAGGCAAGAACCTTATGAGGCACCTATTATGTACCAGCAGTATTAATGTATTACCTGTAATCCTCTTGACACCCTTATCTACTAAGGATCATTACCTTGACTTTACAGAAGAGGAAATTAAGGACTTGAGATGTGAATTTGCTTACTTAGTGTTCAACAACAGGAAACTAGCAGATAGGACCCAAATCTGATCTACTTGGCTCCAAAACCTCCCACCACACCAGTCTGCCTCCCCATTTAGCTTCCCCCATTCACAAATCAGAAAAATGAGAATGAGCGAGGTGGAGTAACTTATTTCTGGAAACAGCTAGTTAGCTAGTGGTAAGGCTGTAATGAGAATTCAGTAGTGCTAAATCCTATCAGATGGCCCAGTGGGAGGATGCCCTGTGTAATCAGGCCTACCTGGGGCCAGCAAAAACGTTACTTTACTTTAAGACTCCATGTCAGGCTATGTAGCTTCAAAGCAGAGACTGGACAGAGAAGGGGACAAACCAGCCCTCTCCTTTGTACCTATTATGTCTAAAACACTGCTTGCTGCAGTGGAGGATTTGGAAAACAGACAAACAAAACGGACGACAAGATCCTATCCTCATATCCGTGTGGGAAAGAAGGCATAATCATATAAAATATTAAATAGTATCCCTGGAGGGGACCTCAGCAATATTCTGGCTCTTTCCCCAGACCCCTACAATAATATATTTTAAATGACAGTATAAAACAATGGCATAGTACAGTATGTGAGAATTGCCAATAGAAATAACTAATATTTTTCGGAGCACTTTTTTGTATCAGGACCTTTGCTAAGTGCTTTGAATTATCTCATTTAAATACAACCCTATGAGACAGATATTCTCATTAAGGATGTTTTACATGAGGAAATGATGGCGGTTTCTGGGAGGGCCCCTATATCTAGCAAAGATTCACACAAGGCCATCTGACCCAAAATTACTATGCTAGGAGCTAAAACACTTTCCAACATACGGTTGATTTGGAAATGCAAGACAGATCTTAGCACAGAAGCTCAAGAAACATAGCATTCTAAAACTGTTAGAGAACTTCATTAGCGCTAGATTTGTTATAAACGCTATCTGCTGAGGGTATAGTGGCCTCTAATTTCCTCACCCCACTCCCAGAGCAATGTTTGTGAGAGAGCCATACACCAGCCAACGGCACATCACCTTCTTCAGCTTTCCCATTACTCCAAACCAACACGGAACTGCAATTCTGAATAGCAGTGACTTACAAAGGCACCGCACCAGCACCACTACTGCCCTACTGGTGGAATACATATTATAGGCTGTGAATCAGGTAGGATGCGAAAAGTCGCTGCTCTTTTGAAAACTCTTTCTAAGCGACCTGAAGAAAAGCCTTTTTAAAATGATACAAGTGGGGATGTGGTGCATGCCACCGCAGTCCTTGGGTAATGACTGTGTGTCATAAATAGGATATGGCATTTCAGAATGTCTTTAAAGCCATTTCCTTTTGTTTAACTAATTTAATTTACCAAATGCTCCTGGGAAAAGGGAGGGGGATCAAGATGCTGACTCCACATTTCCTGAAAAATCAACATCTTCTTTTTAAACTGCTCTCAAAGAAATTACATCTGATTGTTGTCTGCTGGCTCCCTCAAACTCTACCTCTGTCAAAATTCTGCCCCGGCAGGTGTGAGAAAGAATAGATGCAGAACTTGAGCGAATACCCACATCTGTTTTTGGAAAAAGGGAACAGAAGCAGCACAGAAGGAAGTAAAAGAGATAATTGCTGGCTTGAACTACAATACATTTTACTTGTGGGCAGAGGGCCAGCTTACAGCAGGCGGAATATGCAGGCCCATCTTATTGGAATTCAGGGGTGGGCCTCCATTCTTGTCCGGAGACAGCTGTAAACCAGCAGCCCATAGCATCACAATCAGGCACTGAGTTTTGTCAAGGAATGCTGATATGTACAGAAGCAGCTTTGTCTGCTTCAACTGCACCCCTGCCTAGTGAAATGACAGTCAATCTCTGATTCCAGATGACAAGAACTGGATAAAAACTTAAAACAAATGGCGACCTTTCAAAAGATTAATTTGTTTACCAACAAAATGTTCCCTCTTTGTCATCCGAGATGGGGGTGACCTTCACTTTCCCATATCTAGGCTGAAAGGATGCTGACTATAGTCATCTGTTAAGTTAACTCCATCTCAGCAATTATTCCCTTTTTTATTTTTAGTGACAAGAAGGGTTTATTAATTCACTCTGCTTCTTGTTATGGTTTATAAATGCAACAAGCTCATTCTGAATTACTGCAGTGTAACATCAATTTGTTTAAATCTAATTCTGCTACCGTTGCCAAATTATGATGTGACTGTAATTGTGGCCATATGCATGGGCTTAAAACACAATCATGTTTTGAAATTGTCCTTCTTTCTCACCACCCCCTTACCCCCACCACTCACTTCTGGTGCTTCTTCTAATCATTTGACATTAACACAATTGCCTCACTTTCCATTACTTTATCATTTCAGAAATGAATATGCTTTCAGTGAGAGAGAGATTACTATGTACACCCCAAGTGAAACAGTAAAGAATGAAACTATGATTTGTGAAGTGTGGTTGCTACCCAACTAAGTTAGTGGAAAACACTGCATAACATATGACTCATAAAATCTAGAAATCATAATAGTATTAAATTCAACCTCATGAATAAATAAAAGGTTCTAAGTTTACATTGCATTATATATTTATTTATTTGGAAAGTGGGACCAAAGAACTGGTATAATTCTACAGCAACTCATATCTTGCCAGAAAGAAAAATGTTTTTATGATTCTTTTCTAGGTCATAACAGTTATAATCAGAGTTATTTGTGCAGCAATTCAAAGCAATGTTTTGTTTGGCTATTTTGTTATGCATTCATAATCGTTCTTTTAAAATTCATGCTAACAGATACATGTTGCAAGCCTTTTAAGAAACTCTTTTTATTTTAAAGAATAAATCAAAGTCAAATTTTCTTCAGATCTTTTAACACGTTGCATTATAAAGTCTAACTGGAACTAGATGTCAGTGAGTAAATGTGAACGAGACCAGGGATTTCTTCTTCCCTCTGAGTGCCTATAGGACCTACTCAAAAACATGTTAGAGAGCTGTTTGTTGCTATTTGGCAGATTTAAGATATTTTTTTTTTTAAATCATCAGGGAGTTTCACTTTTAATAGTTTTTTGCAAACTGATTTCACATAACAGAGTCATAAGGTATAAAATTCTAAAGTCAGTTTTGTGATACCAGTGTGTGTGGTGGTCATTATATGTGTTTTTGATGCACTAAAATCCTTTCATCAACCACTTACTATCAGGAAGAAAACATTCTTCAAAAGATGGAGAAAATATCAGCTTCTAGGGAACTCATAATGTAAACTGGTTACAAATTCAAATCTGCTCTGTCAAAAATGCCTGAGATTATTTACAGGCTTTTGACAAGCTGATCAAGTTTCATAAGAAGTGAGGAAACACATGGCCCTCGGCAGCCAAATAATAATCCCCTTTGAGTGTTTAGAGTAGTTCTAAAATGATTAGCCTCAATGCTGCTTTTCTAATTAACTATATATCACAATCCTAGATGTATTGCTTCTATTGGGGAAGTGCTTTTAAAAACAGTTTTATAAGTGGTAAATCACAATTGTATTTATGCCCAAATGTTCTACATCATTGTTTAAAACCAAATACCTGAATGCTTCCTTCATAGGACTTCCTATTTTATAAATCCAGAATGAAAATGCATACTGTTTTTTTGGTTAATATCATCATATATCTATATTAACATAAAATGATAGGGCCAATTGATTATTGAGATCAAAAGGCTAATAATCAGTTTGAGCAGCACAGGTATACTTATATCTAATTTTAAATTGCTCTGGTATAGATTTGTATGGAGTCAAGCTTTATGAAAGAAAAAAAGGATCTTTAATTCGGTAAATAAATATACATATAATATTTATATGTCATACAAGGCAAAGTACTTTCCCAAATTCTTTTTGCTCAGTACATGGATACAATACCCGAAGCACTCATTCTATTTGGAAATTATAGAAAATACAATAAATGACTAAAATTCTGCCCCAAATTTTGGATGTAATCTTTACTTCTCTATTTAAATCTGAATCTTCACTCAGATTCACAAAGCAAAGACTAATCCTTTCTAAATCTAAAGGCATACCTTTTAAAACTTCATACTCATCAGAGAAAGTTTGCATGAAATTCAGCAGTTGCCTTGGGCTACAAAGCCTCAGCACTCTGCCAGCTAAGCCAATATTAATTCTAGATTGAAGAGAAAAACCAACAACAACAAAAGAGGAATCTGCTTCTGTCTGTACAGCCAGAGAAATAATATTTTTATTTCAAGGGCTCTAGGCTCATGGGAAGCAGATAAAAACCCTTTCACATTATTCACAGTGACATTTTAAATAAAGTTTCAGCAGAAATAAAAATATCTAACTTTCTGGTTATTTCTTAGGCTATAAAAGTATTTCTATGACAAAGTGCTCTTAAACCAAACTTGTTAGAATAACATAAAGCACACATAAAGAAACTGAAAATATATAAAATATATTTCAGGATTACATGAATGGAGTAGGCAATTGAAAATGTCTATGTAGGAAATTCGGAAGATTAATCTAAGAGACTATTACACTAGTTAGAAATGGCTTTGCAATTTAATCTTAAAATTAATCTTGGTTGTAGTTTTGATTTCACAAAACTATGTATTTTTAGGAGCTTTTGAGAGATGCCAAAGGTTTAAAATGTATTTTAAAAAAGTACAGATGTCAATAATTGTTTTCAGTATTAGAAATTATCTCAAATTAGATCATTTACCAGTTAAAATGAAGCACTACTCTTAACTCCCTTCAGAAAACCCCACAACCCAGAAAGGGTACAATTCTTGCTTTGGGACAGTGAAGCAGCAAGTCAATGACAAAAGTCAGAAAAGACTCTGAGATCCCTTAACACAAACATTTGATAATTTTTCACATTCATTATATTGCTGACATAAGGGATTAGTCCCTGCTTGTTTCAGGTTTAGAATAACATTCTTAAATATTTGTATATTCAGTGAATGTTTGCTGGTCTACCAAATGATTGATTGATTGAATAAACATACCTCCTACAAAAAAAAAAATTGTATATTATATGAGCATATGGATGTGGAAACTGTGCTATATTGTTTTCTTCTGATTTTTCTAGTGGTAAGCTACTATCAAAGAAATAAAATATTTAAAATTTCTCTGTTATTTTTGCTGGTACACTATTTCCTCCTTGTTAAAATTATGGCACTAGATTATTCAGGAATATCAAACAAAATAGAGAAACTTGAATGAGGTTATTTAAAATAGGTTTACATTTTCTCATGAGGTTATTCAAAATAGGTTTACATTTTCTTAGTGATCTCTAATTATAACCAGAATGAAAGCCATTCCATTTCATCTCTTAAAAATTTCAAGGACAAAAGGATCACAATCTTCACTTAAAATCTACATTATATCTTACATTACTAATATATTACTTTTAATTCTCAAAAAAAAAAAAAGAGCTCATTAAAATAGCTCATTACTTACACATGATTTTCTCTGAGTAACACATGGCAAACTGATTCCATAGTTCTCATTTATAGCAGCTCTGTGGAAGATGTTTTCAGGATCCTGCATGATTTTTACATTCAACCCTATCTTTGGCTGAAACAAAGAAACAATGAAACTTTCATTCTGGATGAAAAAAAGATGCCTACTAACATTTTATATCCTAAAAGGAGTATATAGTTTTTTGAAAATAATTATTTTAATGTAATTCTCACCAGAAAACATATATTTGAATCTTTTATTTAGGCTGTTAAATTGGTCCCTTTTATTTATAGAAAAGGAACTTTCTGCAGATTTTCTTCTATGTATCCTATGAGTAACACAAATACATCTCAGACACCATTCATTTTCTCAAAAATAACGCTAGAAGCCAACCAAGGTAGACAAAGGACTAGAATACCTAGTCTTGATTTATTTTTAGCTTTCCAGGTCAAGGATTTTGTCAATGAAATCTATACTACAAGTGCACAGGTAGAGGGCTCCCTCGGTCTGTTAATGTGGCCACTTTTCTCTAGGAACATTTACAGGTAAATCTCAGTTTGGACATGGTAAATTTACCACAACAAATTTATCTCCTGCTTCTTGGAGAATTTTTGCTCTCTGTAAGAATAATTAGTGCTTTCGTTAGAAAAAATTAAAAGCATCTTGTCCAAAACACTTGTTCCTCATTTTAAAAATTCAAATTAGTTACTGCAGAGAAGCTTATAAATAAATCACAAGAGTGGGCAGCACAGTGGTGGTAGGAAAGAGCACTGGACAGGGGTCAGGACACTCAGGTTTCAATTCTACTTTGGAATGCTGTATGTGACCTTGGGTAAGTCACTTCACCTCTCTGGAAGTGAATTTGTTTATTTGCAAAAGGTGCCAGTTAGACTTAATGTTCTCTTGATAAATTATTCCTGAGCTTTGGCATTCTATGATTTGAGGCTGTAAGATCATTTGGCATGAAGGGAATATGGTATTACCAAAAACTTCTGAAGTCCTTTGTGACTTTTTAATGTGATATGATTTACATACCTTTACTATTACTGCTTTAAAGTGTGTAATTCAGTGGTTTTTAGTATATTCACAAAGTTGCCTAACTATCACCGTTATTTAATTCCAGAACATTTTCATCACCCCCAAATAAAACCTTGTATCCATTAGCAATCACTCCCCATTCCCTCTTCCCCCCAACTCCAGGCAATGCACTAATTTACTTTCTGTCTGGACTGATGTATCTCTTCTGGACATTTTATATAAATAGAATCATAGACTATGCAGCCTTTGTGACATTTTATGAAGGAGGTTGGAGATACCATGAGCAAATTTTAAAAAGTGATTTCCTTTCAATTAAGCACTGTGGTTCTGAGGATGATTTGATGCAATTGTTAAAATGGTTGTAAGAACCAGACAGATTAGTTCATGATTCAGCCATTTCTTTGCTTATGGCCTATGCCTAAGATCAAAGTGAAGAAGCCCACAAAAATATCTACAGAATGTATGCTACGTAAGCAAAGATGAGACTCAGTAAATCTTCTCTTAAGACAAACTCCAACCTTCTTTTTATTTTTTAAACAGCATTTTTAAACCAAATCTCCAAATAACTGCCCTCACCTGTCTCCTTTATTTAAACCAGTCTGGGACACAGGTTGCAAACAAAGGATGTCTATTCCCTTCTCCTTGAGGTACATGTACAATGGTGACAAAAGTAATGTAGTACCTAATTATAAATGGCTTCCTTCTGTGGGTAATCCACACTCATAGCCCTATCCCGGGTATTTTCCATGGAAGCTGGGAGCCTCTTTTATTGAAATTAATACCTAAACATAATTTTTTTCCTTCTTAATTAAACTTTCAGAGTCATTTCCATCCTACCAAGAATTGGGAAATTGCTAATATGTATTATATTGACTGGTGGTTTCTGTAATTAGGGTGCTTTTAAAATTCGTACTCTGGATACAAAATAGCTTCATCTATCATGTCTAAGCTTTGTTAGAACTTTTTAATTCTGGGATCATTGACTCAGTAGACCGTAGCAGTTTTCTTAGTTTTATTATGCTCCATCAACTTTGTGTGGTTATAGGACTGATGTAGGGAAAAAATTACTGAATGCAGAATCACTGTTGAAACTGGATTTAAAATGCAGTTGTTTTTGTCTATTTCTGTGACACTAGACACAGATATTTTTGGAAAAAATAGTTATTTAACTAGAAATCCAACAGAACAATAGCTGTACTGTCAATTCTTTATTGTTGACTTCTAAAGCAAAGGGAAACGTCCTTTAAAATCATTAACATCCTCAAAAAAGATAAATAAAATTATTAATATTCTCACATCCACTATTTTGTCACCAAAGCCACCATGTACATACCAAAATTAAAATATATAGCACACGATTTAAATTCTATTTTCAAAAACATTTCAAAGGTACTTACATTTAAACAATATTAACACAGCAAGTTGTTTTACTAAAAATCACCACCAAATACATTCAAAACCTAAATTTGTTTCATAAACCATCTAGAGAGATGTATGGGAAATACTTGTAAGCATAAGCTGCATTATCAGACCCAGTAATAAGGTTTTTAATAAAATCAATTATAGACTTCAAAAATAAAAATAAAATCAATCATTCCATTAAGCAGAAAAGCATGCCCTGAAAGATAATCTTTTTTTTTTTTACCGTAGTAAGATAAATATCAGAAATAATTTCAGAAATTTTTCTTAAATTGGTCAAGAAAAATAGCAATTTATTTAATCTATCTTGAGTCACTAAACAATCTAAACTTGGTATTCTCTCCTTTTGAAAGTAATTACAAGCAGATATATATATATCAAATGTGACTCTCATTTAGACTTTGGTTTGTAAGAACAAAAGTTATTATCAGAGCCAATTACTGTTTTACCTACATGGCTGCACAGAGGCAGGGAGCTCAATTTTCATCTCATCAGTGATTTTGTGGTATTTATTTTATTACTATGCCCACAAAGCTATATAAGAAGGAAATAGCTTATGCTATTAAAACTAGGGCTGGAATACAAGAGACGAAGGTTTCTTTTAGAAGAACTTCTGTATTAAAAACACTAGGCAGCGTGTAATGCCAGCTCCCCAGACATGAGCAGACCATAAAATGACACACATCTGAGCGGCAGATCCCATACAGAGCAATCAAAATTGAAATGCTTCACAAACAAAGTTGAGAGAGGCTATTTACTAAGTTACAATGTTATCAACAGCATTTGCTACCAATAATGTCTTCTAAAGTGGATATTGCTTAATATCAAATTCCCAACGGTTAAAGATGTCTGCTGTTTAATCTCAAAAGCAGAGAGAAGAAGAATAGGAAAAGAATTCAATCACCTTTAACACTCATTCTCTCAGCTATTATTATATGTAATTGAAAGAGCAATAGACGTCAAGTTGTGGTTCAAGCTATGTGATCGAAGTTTCTCATTTGTAAAACAAGGTAATAACACCTACCTTCACAGAGTTGTTTTTGAGCTTCAAATGACTAATATATGTTAAGTATTTTATAAATTTTAAAGTACTATGCAGGACCCAACCTAAAAGGGGCTCCTATTGGCCCCAAAATAATGATGATGATAAACTGAAAACCATTAAATATACAAAAAACTTCAAATACATAAAAACGTCTTAATATTTCCCTCTCCCCCCAAACCTAATTGATTACATTGATAAATTGATCCGAAAATTGGTAAGTAAGGAAAGAAATTAAGCATTTATTCTACTTTTCCTGAAAGACTGTTTTTCAGACTCACCAAAGAGTTGCTAGGGAAAAGTTCTTTGTAGAAGCTAATAAATCCAAAGGAATGATAGGATTATGAAGTAACCACTTTGCAAACTCTAATGAAACAATGTATTTAAGTAGACACAATAGTTATTGATACTACTGTATTAGGTGAAAGGTTGAGGAAGGTTTTATGAAGGATAAATTGAGCTGATTAAACTTGGACCCACCAATCTGCAGTGTCATTAAAAAAGAAAGAAATTGCCTCCTGATAATGCTATAAAAGAAAGTATACAGCATCCCTGGGTACAGAACCATGGCACAGTATGAAGTATTCCTGCCAAAAAATGGAACCTGAATCCAATAAAGCTACTAGACAAAACTATCAATTTACAAGAAATACTAGGGACAGAGAAACCTGTAAAATGACACCTGTAAAATGACACCATGGCAATCAGCCAAATCCAAACTGTGGGAAAAACCTATATGACAAATGACCTGATTTCTCCAACATGTACATGACATTTTTAAAATGAGGGAAATTGTCACAGATAAAATGAGAAATAATTATAATGTCTAAACCTGCTTCCTGATTCAAACAACAGCAGAATGAAGCTTTCTTTTAGAAGAATTTAAAGACAATGGGAAAAACTGAGCCTGGACTGAGAATTATATAATATTAATTAATTGCTGGCTTGGTGCCCATAACACAGTGGTTACAGCGCCAGGCACATGCACCCAGGCTGGCGGGTTCCAACCTGGCCCTGGCCAGCTAAACAATGACAACTCCAACAAAAATTAGCTGGGTGTTGTGGTGGGTACCTGTAGTCCTAGCTACTCGGAGGCTGAGGCAAGAGAATTGCTTAGGCGATTTTGAGGTTGCTGTGAGCTGTGATGTCATTCACTCTACCAAGGGCGATAGTAAGACTCTGTCTCAAAAAAAAAAAAAAAATCTTTATCAAAAAATATACCATGGAATGAAATGATATGCTGTCTGGGACTTGCTTTAAAAAACTTTGCCCAAAAAAAGTGAAGGGAAAAGGTAAAATAAGAATGGTAAAATTATATAAACTGTTAAAGCTATTTTGTGTCTACTCAAAAATAAATTTCCTTAAAAAGTCATAATGAAAATTAAGATGTAATTATTCATGATTTTATTACTTCATCTCTAACATTCAATGCTCCAGTCTCTGACTTTCCCTCTCACTTCACTGTTAGGGCTAGAAGGATCAAAAAGGAGAAGCCCCCCACAAGCAAAGCATCACTTAGCTCCATGCCGCTTCTCAATAGTCCGGCTGCCTCTGGGTCACAAAACCTAGAGACGTAACTCTTTTTATTTAGATGTGCTCATCCTTTGTTCTGATT